AAATAAAGAACGTACATACATAGCACCAGGCTAACTCCAAACTAGCTTGGTTGTGATCTGTAAAGTGGTAAAAAGTGTCACTGCAACAACTCAAATAGAAAGCTAGGAAAATTACTTCGATTGCTTGGACCTCGTTCTCGAGACCACTGATATCAGTGTAACTTCGAGTGAGATCCTCATCCAAGTTCACGACGCTGATTAGTGGACAAAACTCTTGATCGAATTGTAAGAATCAAGGCTACTTTTGCATACCCCAGCCTTTCGTTATCTGTTGTAAGTAGAATGAATCGATTACATTAATGTAAGATGGGGGGAGGACATACTGATCGGTAGTTAGAATACGAAGTTTTGAGGCGTTCAGACGATAAAAAAGAATAAAATTGCTGGACATGTGCAAAGTTCGCAGAGGATGAATAGACATTGGCGCATTTTTGAGGCATCCGACTCGTAGTCAGACAGCCAGACATTGCTGGATGATGCGAAGTCACCCAGGCAAAGCTTGTCTGCCTCGAAGGCAGACCACGCGATGAGGCCAGTCGTTGTCGTTGAGGTGGAGGCAAGGGTAACGATGTCGATGAGGTGGAGACTAGGGTAAATGATGAGGAGGTCGATAAAAAGCCCTGCATACAATCAATTAGAATAGAATTAATGGACACATACCTTTGTGGAGGATGGATCGATATGGGCGAAGTGTTGAGGCAGTACCGTAGGACCGTAATCTGACTCGTAGTCAGACGGCCAGATAGCACTGGATGACGCGAAGTCACCCAGGCAAATTGTCTGCCTCGAAGGCAGACCATACAATGAGGCCAGAAGATATGAGGTGGAGAGATGGGGGCAAATGATGAGGCCAGATGATGAGGTGGAAATGGGGTAAACGATGAGGCCAGACGGCATTGAGTGGAGATGGGCATTATGGACACAAAGTTGATGAATTACTAAAATTGTCGAAATTGGAAGGGCCTTCCCAGGCTTTCGCCTGGGCTTTCCCACTCTAGGTAAGGGCTTTCCCACACTGATTCAAGGTGTGGACTTCACACTTTGAAGTTTGAACAACACCAAAGTCCATTTCCTCCCTCATTCTCGACACTCTGCATCGCGGCGGTCAACATTCCCCAACCTCTATAGTCTACCTTCGTGGTGGGCGTACTGTGAGCAGCAACTTCGTGTTGCTTGCTCCTGTCGATTGCTTAGACTTCGGTCGGCAGTCTTGTCTTCCACCAGGCAGTATCTTGCGATCACCACCACCACTGTCTTCTACCGCCACAGTTGTTCTTCCCCCCAGTAATTTCTTATAATGTAAGTATTGTCTTGCCACCACCACCACAATTGTCTTCAAGCGCTGGCATTGTTTTTCCACAGCCAGAACTGCGTTCCACAACTAGGAATTGTCTTAAACCGCCTGATCTGTCTTCAGCCGCTAGAACAACCTTCTGTCCGACTTGACTGATTCATCTTCACGCTGTTGCTGATATACTGATCTTGTTCAAGACTGCTGCAGACCTCCATAGGTAAGTACATTCGTTATATTTGGTCACGCTATCATGGCTGACATTGGGTCTTTAACCAGACTCTTCTCGCTCAAGACTCCTGTCGCCCTTTACAGTAAGTTTCTTTACTACTTTGATTCATGCTATCATTACTGACATCTCGCCATCATCAGATTTCTCTCCAATCTTTCAAGACTCTCTTACTATCGGTAAGTACATTCGTTATTTGGTCACGCTATCATGACTGACATTGGGTCTTTAGCCAGACTCTTCTCGCTCAAGACTCCTGTCGCCGTTTACAGTAAGTTTTTTTTACTACATTAATTCATGCTATCATTACTGACATCACGCCCTCATTAGATTTCTCTTCAGTCTTTCTTCAAGACTCTCTTACTATCTGCCTTCGTGGTAGCGTTTAAATCAGCAGTGACTTCGAGTCGTTGTTTGATTTAAATTTCCTTCCTCAGTGACTGCGAGTCGCTGTGTGTTTCCCCATCCTCGATATCATGATCCCCGGAGCTACCATCATGTCGATTCCTGTCTTCAAGCCGTTTATGCGTGATGGCGACCGTGCGTTTTAGATTCTTCATACATCTACTGCTCTTGACTGACGACGTTCAGGTTACCTGACTGCCACTGATGCTTTCTGTGTGGCTACATATGCCCACCGAGTGATCACGACTCCTAACATGAAATTCATTCCTCAACCCTTTGACAACGAATCCGATATCATTCAAGTGCGCGCAGACGGTAGATATTGGGCCCTGGATCCCTTCCAGTGGCCACAGATGTATGATGACTTGTACGCTCGAAGTTTTGCAATCCCTCGCCGGGAAGCCTATGCGGACGACGCAAGCATGACGTACGCATGGTTCAAACCAACTTTCTCAAGTGACTTCATTCCCCTTTCCCCCAGCAATCTTTTTGGTCAGCTCAAGACTGACGTTGTCGGCCATCTCAAGTGATTGTACGAGAAGGCCAACACGCGGGTTAGCAATTACAAGGTTGCTAGGATGCACAAGGAGGATCATGTTGTTGGGTGGGTGCATGCGATGCGCGCTGTCTACGAGCGCTTCCAGCAAGCCATGGCCTGGCGTGACATTGTCATAATCGTTGCTGAATATCAGCGCCGGTTTCTCGATATCTGGGCGGTTCTAGACTACTACGAAATTATCAAGCCCCGCATGCGATTCGTCGACACTACGCATAAGGTTGACCCTAAATGGATGGGTTGTTTCACTGAAGATGTCGCTATCGCCACGAAGGTGCACGCTGCTGGAGTTCCTGTCTGGCTTATCCGCGATGCCAGACTTGTCAACTCCAACATGAACATCATCAAAGTCGTTTCCTTCACACCACCCGATGACCTCGTCATCGGCATGTACCATGATCCCATCAAACTCTTTGCTCAACCATTCAACATCATCACCAGAGGTCCCAATAATCGCCGGCGTCACGAGGCCGCTCGTCAGCCATATTCCAACTTTGAGAAGTTGCCGGTTCCAAAACCCCAAGTGGAACAGCTGGTAACGAGGGAGTCATTGGTAGGAAAGGCTCGTGTAGACAAAGGGAAGGCCAAAATGAATGCCAAGCCTGCGCCGTGTAAGTTCAGTATTCTTATTCCATGGTTGTTGTGTCTAATTAATTCGTCAGACAATGCAACCGCTCCCCGTCAAAATAAAGTTGTTTCTGGCCGTGACAAGTGGTCTGATATAGATCACCCTTTCATGCCGCCAATGAATTCTTTCTTCAAGATAGCGTTGGAGGAAGCGAAGAAAGAATTCCTCCGTATCAAGCATCCCAGATACAAAATGGACGATGGTTACTCGCTTCCCGATCCAGGGTTATTCGTTAACGTTCTTTCCCCGCAATCCTTGGTGAAGTACCTTGCCAACTGGCTGACATGCCGCCCAAGTTGGATAGAACGTGTCTATGACGAAAGGCCTCGACCCCTTCCTCGCGCCCAGAGCTGGCGCGATTTCTTGATATCTCAGCACGCTCAGGATCCTTCGAACATGCAGACCTCCGGCAAGACCAGCAAGTCGAAAGCAGCGACTGCTTTACTTTTCCAAAAGGAAGTTCCGGTACTGCGGGCCTTGTGGGCAGCACCCACAAATGTTCACTGGCGTGGAAAGGACATAGCCATTTCCACGCTCGACAATCCCCCCGCAGATCTCGCACGCCAAATCGTGTATGAAATCTGCGAGCAAAGTTTCCGATATGAACTTCTCGACCTGGATGAACATCTTGGGCGCGAAGCACGTAAGGACAAGGAGGCGAGGAAGGAAAGGATGGAGCTTCTTCGTAGCATTTTCCCGTCGAAGTCGTTGAAAGTTTGGAACAGGGATTTGCCACAAGAGAACGACGGACTCAATGCGCCATCTTTCGCCGCCGCTTTACCATATTTCGAAAGTTTCCGCAAGGTGTTGTCAACGTGGGAGCACTTTCCCGAGTCCCTCAAACAACCTTTTGATGCTACCGGACGTGAGCACAACATATGGATGGGGATGAAGGAATGCTGTCTGTTCTACGTTCAGTCTTATTTCGACAATACTGGCCGTCCACCTATCGTTCCTCACTTACTGTATTCGGTCGCCTAGATGTTGATGCTGTGTGCTCGTTTCCCATTGCAATGATTGTGCTCTTATGGATTTAATGTACATATACCCCCAATAGTCAATAATTTGTATACCATCATGTGTCACTAATGCTGTTTCATCCCTACCGGACTTTGTCATGGTCAAACAGGTTATCTTAGACATCAACATTTATTTTCCCCATACCGCTAACATTTCAGTTTCACAGAACAGAGTGTACACGAACAGGTAGAGTTCCTTCCTTCACGTTTGCTAGCCCTCATTTGCTCCAAAGGTTCATCGACGTATTCGCCCACTTTTTCATTTTTGTATTCGACGTAAGTTTGGGACTTTGGGTTCCTCTGAGCGTTCAGTAGTTGACTTTGTGTCGACGCTGACCTTAGTGCGGGCTTTGTGCTTGCCTTCGACTATCTCGTAGTCGACTTTGTGTTGACACCAACCTTAACGCGGGCTTCGTGCTTGCCTTCGACTATCTCGTAGTCGACTTCGTGTTGACACTAACCTTGACGCGGGCTTCGTGCTTGGCTTTCAATATCTCGCTATGGTCTCATCCAACCCTATCGCTGGGCCGTCCACTCCAACCTCTCACAATACGCAGCACAAACTCGTCACTTCTTCAATGGCGAAGAGGAGGCGGCGACCGCAGCAAAGCAGCAACTTTCATCTTCCTATAGCCCCCCCACTACTCGTAATTCCCGGAAGAAAACGCCTTACACAACAATCACTCAACAATCCAGGAAGGTCACAGCAGCAACAGCCTTTCTGCGATGCCGATTCTGCTAACCAGCATGATAGCCCATCCGCTGGGAATATTTTAGACCGTGAAGAACGCTCGTCTTTCTACAACTCACTACACTACATCTCCGATGCTGATTCAATCCTACCTTCCCGCTCGAATGGCCGCCAAAAGAAGATGAATCAGTGGCGATGCTGGACAACCGAAGTCATTCCTTCCTTGATCGCTCCATACCTTGCATACTTGCGCAAATCGACCTCTCTTCGCGATCGAATTGAATTGCAGCCAGACGAAGTTGCTGCCTTTCAGTGCAAATCCTCTTGTCGACGGAGGGTTCTCGAGATCACTTGCGTACTCTTCAATCGTATGTCTCTCTTATTACCCGAGTTATTGGTTGGCTGATAATATCGTAGATATCGAGATATTACGAATTGATTGCTGCGCTTGCGCGCCTGCTCCCCTTCAGCTCCTGTCTCGCGGTTACTTTGCCTGCGCTCCCATCGCTCCTTCCCTCGCTGTCGACCTTCAGTTGCTGGAACTTGTCAAGACGTTGTTCGTACATATCACTCCCAACACAACTGCTTGGTGCGAAACACTCGAGGTCTTTCTGGCTGGCCGCGGGTATCACCTTACCACCAAGGTGAGTCGAGTGCCTATACTGAGTTCTGAAGGATCAATATCTTTATAGGATAATCTTCGTCGTCGGTTTGGTAACGCTTATCATTGGTACTCTGTACTCTGCATGAGTGCTGAAGATCAGTTGTCCAATCTCATTGGAACTCATCGCCCACTTTCACCGCCGTCGACTGAGGGACTAACACGTCCAAGTGACTATCTAAGGTCTCGTTGTCCGATTTGTTTTGGCTTGGATGATTGGCGAAAAAGTAGAACCCTTAATCTCAAGTAAGTTGTTTTGAATATTAGGAACTAAAATAATTCTTAATTATACAATAGACCTGATGTCCATACTTGTATTGACGCGTGTTTCACTCAAAAACGCTCAGCGGACCAACGCGGGGGAGGGCCAGATCCCTCAAACCCAATCAGATCAGTTTTCCTGTCGGATGATGAGGTGACATCGATGGAGGTCCATGTGCAGAGTTGTCGCGGCAGACCCCTTGATCGGGGTCGCAAGAGAAAGCGACCTGCAGCCACAGAAGAGGAGGGGGATGACTATGAGGATGGCATGCGAGTCCCGACCTCTGTGCTAGATGGTTGCAGTGAATCTTTTCTTGCCGCTGATGAGAAACGTGAAAAGGCTAGCACCCAATTTTTTGCAGATACAGGGGTGATGGCCATGTTATGTCGGCACGATCGTGTATTATGGCTCGCCAACATGACGTCGGCGGGAGAAAAGCAGCACTACGCTCTTGCTTTGATCAAGAAGCTTTTCGACAATCTCCCTACCGATATGACCGTTGGCCTCTTGTATGACATTGGCTGTCAGCTTCATCGAAGTTGTCTCAAGTACTGACTCCTCGATGATGCGGTTCTTCGCCGTATAACTTTCGCGATATCAGTCTTCCACGCTTACGGCCACCAATGGGCATGTCAAATTATATACCATCCTCGCAAGTGTGAAGGCTTTGGCCTTTCGGATGGAGAAGGTTGCGAGTGTTTATGGAGTGCGCTCAAACACCTTATTGCTCCGCTACACGTTTCTGGGGTGAGTGTTCTCTGTTTCGAGAATGGTTGCATACGGGCTATAGCCGCTCATGACCATATTGACCATGGTCGTATTATTCATTCACCCCTGACTATAAACTACATGTTTGCTACTTACTGACCGCCTTTTCAGTTTCATCAGCGACTTTTTGTCCTCGACACTCAAGTCCGGCATCTAGATAACAAGAACCTTAGTTTATACGGCAACTGGTTGAGCTGGAGGTGGAATAACTGCGTCAAGAAGAAGAGTACTGCAGCACAGGCGCTACGTGAGCTTTCAGTCGATGAGACCTGTGTACGACAGGAATGGAAATCGCAAGTTGAATATCAGACGAAACCCCTGCCTTGTAAGTGCTACTGTTCGTGATGTATGATTACAATATTGATGCACGTTATCTCGACAGGAAGATCGAAGACAAATAATGACGAGGAAATTTCCAAAATTCTCTCCCTTGAGAAATCTCTCGTTGAGATTGATGGAGCGTTGCGACGCATGGAAACGCAACTTTGTATGGGAAACATCGATAATCTCACTGAACACAACCTTCGTCTCATTGAGGAGCGCGCTCACCGATCAAGAGTCGCAGACACTTTGAGCCGCTGGAAGACACGACTTGGCATCAGTCAGCGCACCCGTCTAGAACAACTACGTCGCAATGTATATCTACAAGTCCGTTTAGACGCTCAAGCTCTTAAAACGCGTATCCGCGAACGACTTCGACAGCGCAAGTTCGAAATTGAGAAGCTTGAACGCTCTTACAGGCAAACTGTGAACGGTACTTATATTCTAAGTTGTACATATGGACCTCAACTGACTGCACTTTTTTGTCACAGAGCGCAAGCTTAATTCTCATGTGGATGCCGCAATCCAGCGACGCAATCCTACCATACGAAAGCTCGTGTCCTCATACAATAACCTATGTACAGATCTTAGCGCTCTTATCAGACAGCGCCGCAGTCCTCCGAATGCTATACCACCTAACCCCATCTCTCCTATCGGTATTTTTGATCTTGATATTGATGCTGACATTTGGGAGGACGTTGGACTCAACGATGTCGTGCTGGACCCCCCTGATTGGTTAGCTGATGAGGTCACACGTGCCGCGATCAAACTGTTGCTTGAGATTGACCGATGCAACGAAGAAGAGTCTCGTGTCAAGGTTGAGCGCTGTGCTCTGCAAGAGTGGGCGATTCTTGAGTGGGATGGTCTACAGAGGGCCCGTGCACATGCAAGTAAGTTTTTTTCGCACCTCACTAATATTCCATGCTGACTTTCGAAGACGATGATGAAGTAATCCTCTATCACATGAATTGCCGTGCTCAACAGTTCATTGTCCTTGTACTGGGGTGGCAGACGAAGGTTCGTCCCATTCCATGTGCGTGGCCTATGCCTGACTGTTGGGGGCCGTCACAAACCAAACTTGCTAATGGGACACCTGTGGTGTACCCTGATGTCCATGATGATGAAGATGTCGAAGATGATGAAGATGTCGAAGATGATGTATGGGACGATGGAGATGACTGGGAATCTGACATTGGCTGTGGTGATGAGGAGCTTATGGACGTCTTAGAAGATATTGCATTAGCAGACCAGTATAGAGGGCAAGAGGTACATGACATCGAGGATGACTATGTAATTCATGAATCATTGATAGATAGCCCAACAAAACATGTTAGATTAAATTCGTAGTACTCTAGTTGTGCTGAACAATCTAAATCTTACAAGTAAAACATAACTGGGACTTGATATGAGAGAGGCCGAGAATGTATACATCACGTGATTTGAACATTGTCGAGAATTTCCAAAGGAGCCTTGCAAGGGACCCCTCTTGAGGTTAATTGAGGGGTTGCAAGAACACCCAAAATCTGTCCAAGTTAATTGGAAAGTATAGGATTTTCGGTAGGTCGAAACACAGTGAATCAGTTGCAAACTTGTAAAGTACTACACGAGAAATCTACTATTGTATGTACACTGATGTTTTAAGGTTTCAGCCACTCGGCTAGTTCCGAGTCACACTCGTCATGCTTCACTAAGTCCAACAGAAAGAACTTGCAAGTGTGTTGCAAGGGGCTTGCAACTAATCAGTCTACCACACTAGCAATCACTGCGGAAACAAGTTTTTAGACGCATGCTAAACGGAGGGAGAAACCAGGTCTAAACGGACTCAAAATGTACTTGGCCGCTAACCGTACGCAAAGCAGACATGTCGGTGATTTTAGGTAATTTTGGTGAAGTAACAAATGTAAATAGCATCTTTTCAGACTTCGCGAACACATCTTTCCCGACCGCTGTTTAGTCTCTTCAAACACTTGTTATCCCACCACTAACCAGATCCGTAAATCCTTGCTTTTGACCTCTTTTTAAGGTAGCTTGGGCGAAGGTGAGTATTTTTGAAAATTCTTCTAAGTCCTCGTTTCATGCTATCATGATGGCAGACCGCGACACCATCAACATCGAGCTGCCTGCTTCTAGATTTCAACCCCCTCTTCCACTGGTCACCTCTTTTACCCGCTCGTCATTCCACATGTTCAACTTCGGGAAACATAGGTGCCATCCAAACCCCAATCAACCCAACCCTCCACAAGACACTCTGACCCATTCTATGGTCATGAGCAGCCTTCGCGGTTGTGCGCCAGGTTCATCACCCATCTATTTGCTTGTCCTGAATAACCCCCATTGTCTTCTAACTCTCAAGTCAAGCTCCTGCATTTCATCGCATATGCCTCCCACCGCACAAAGTTGCACTCATCTGTTACCTTCGCTGCTCTCGTCCTCCTCCAGCGATTGAAAGCATGCTTCCCCACCGCTCGGGGATCTTTGGGACACCACCTGTTCGTATCTGCATTCAGTTGGTGTGGGTAGAACTGTTGACGATGTAGCTTTGTTGAGCTGCTGAAAGAATTTGAGCAGTGCAAGTTGTAGTCAAAGTGGGTGGGGAGTCAAACTGCAATGTTATTTAATGACATGGACTGTCAGTATGACTGACTGGGCGCAAAACCAGCATGTAAGAGCATAAGTAGGGTGAGCGGGAAAGCCCAGATAGTAGTATAGAGGTAGATGGGAGAGCCCATCCAGTGTAATCAGGGTCAGCGGGTGAGCCCAGATAGTAGTAGATAGCTAGATGGGAGAGCCCGGCCAGTGTAATTTAGGTGAGCGGGAAGGCCCAGATAGTAGTAGATAGGTGGATGGGAGAGCCCAACCAGTGTAATTAGGGTCGGCGGGAAGGCCCAGATAGTAGTAGATAGGTGGATGGGAGAGCCCATCCAGTGTAATCAGGGTCGGCGGGTGAGCCCAGATAGTAGTAGACAGGTTGACGGGAGAGCCCAACCAGTGTAATTAGGGTCGGCGGGAAGGCCCAGATAGTAGTAGATAGGTGGATGGGAGAGCCCAACCAGTGTAATTAGGGTCGGCGGGAAGGCCCAGATAGTAGTAGACAGGTGGACGGGAGAGCCCAACCAGTGTAATCAGGGTCGGCGGGTAAGGCCCAGATAGTAGTAGACAGGTGGACGGGAGAGCCCAACCAGTGTAATTAGGGTCGGCAGGAAGGCCCAGATAGTAGTAGATAGGTGGATGGGAGAGCCCAACCAGTGTAATCAGGGTCGGCGGGTGAGCCCAGATAGTAGTAGAGAGGTAGGTGGCAGGGCCCAAACTGTGTAATTAGGGTCAGCGGGACAGCCCAGATAGTAATGGATGACTTCCCATAGGCAAAATATTTAGAATAGAATATATCCAATTTTGAAAAACAATGGGACATCAAGTTTATTTTTTCATCTATACAATGATATTCAACCATAGGACAACTACATACTAGATATAAATCCTTGATAAATGGATGATTTCATATATTCTCTTCTGAACGATGATAAGGTGGACATCTTCAAGACACACTGGAACAATAGGCCACATGAGGCCAGTGGCCTGATTTTATTTGACATCTGTATATTGTGTTCTGTGTGAGTGTGAGGAATGAGTGCGTATGTAGAACAAGGTCTATGTGAAAAACAATATTTCAGTCACCACTGTCTCGCTTAGTATCATCAATCACAAGAAAATTGGATTACTCGACAACTAGTACTGCACTCAGTGTCGTCTATCACTGGTTTGCACCCACCCACCACTCCCTCCCAAAAGTGCGTCTCACAAACATTATATATGCTAGCAAGGGTCAGTTTTGTGGTATATCTCAAAATTGTGGTTCAAGCGCATAGATCACCCTTAAATAACTAGTACTACTCCTTCTATGAATGTACAAATTGTGAATTTTAATGCCGTCAAAATGTTCTAAAAGGACCCCTATCACTCTGATTTATGTTGGGAAAGCCCATGAGATAAATGCTCCGGGATGTCCTAGAGACATGCCAAATTTATCCCGGATGGGACTGGGAAAGATCACAAATGGGTACTAGGGATAGCCCAAATATTGCATTCAGAGTGGGCCGGGACATCCCAGAACATAGGGTAAAATAATGGGAATACCATCCTAGAAGACACCTACTAGGTGCTTTGCTAGCCACAAACACATAGACCTAAGAGGTCATTTCAAGTGGTTGACTGAAGTGGAAAATCTGTGCTGGAGAGACTCAGCCTCAGGAGATAAGACTTGTGCAGTGTCAAAGGGGAACACCATAGTGAGATTAGATGAAGGGGGAAAGAATGAATGAAGAGAAGCGCAGTTGTCAAGGGCTCGGGTTTATATGCAGAAATCGCGAGAAAGTCTCGGCCGCATTTCCTGCTGGTCACGTGACTTCGAAACCCACAAATTTGGTGAAGTCTTCCTGCATACCGCTGACTGGGGACAGTCAGTATTCAAAGTTCGTAGGAGATGTAGGACATGAGCTGGTGCTGGGCTCGTATCGAGCTATTTTACAGTACACGTCAAATACCCGTCACATGCTAATCACTTCCCAATGTTATCCGACACTAACCTGCTAACCCGACGTTTAGGCCGCATTGGCCGATGCAAATTCCTGCGCACTCGTCCTTCCCGTGTCTTGTCCTGTCTTGCTAGCCCCACTAGGTGCGTAGTTCATTATTTCACACATTACTCACGTCGTAGCAAGTGCTATTACATGTTTTCTCATCGTCCGCAGTACCACATGTTATTTTACATGTACTTCGGATCTGAAGTATCCTGCCACTACTTTCGCCTATAGGGTTCCGGATTTCTACGTACCTACATAAATATTGGACTCCCCACAGTGTTGTTCGTCATCCAAGTAGAGGGGAGCAGTTCCCCGACGCTTAGTGGTCAAACCCGATATTTCGTAGTTCTTAGTTGATATTGCGAATATCATCGCTCTTTCATTATCCATATCAATCATCGTTGTCATCACGCATACCGCTCGCTTTTCCGACGCTCGCATAACATGTCACTATTAGTTTCCGCATACCCGACCCGAATCCGACTACCCGACCCGACAAACCCGACGCTTTTGCATCGGACATCGTAAATATACCTTCGGACATTGTTTCCCGCGCTCGGACTATTGATCTCACATCACTCACTTACCCCCAAGACTATTCCCAGACCACAGACCCCTGGGTCGAACGCACTTGTCAGGCAAGTATAGCAGACTAGGCAGTGCAAAGACCACAACACAAATATATCAGTTTGGAGCCATCTTCGTATAGCCAAACTCGGTATTGTCGTTTCTACACCGATGATGGTACAATTGCACATCTCATGCAACGTCTCACATTAAACAACAAGGTGGAGGAAGAGACAACCCAAGATGTTTCAGCAAGCAAGGTTCATTTGAAATAGTATTTATCTGGCGGCTGAGGTTTTTGCACCATTGCTGGAACTCAGCGGCCGAGGATTATTGAACACCGTCGGCCTCTTCATATTTAATGTTTTTTTTTAGTTTATACATTGTTTTCAAATGCTAGTCAACAATAATAGGTTTAAATCGATATTTATGAAAGCAATTTTGGTAGCACCAATGAGACATATGACATAGATCAGGACATCATAACAGATTCATGGGTTTGAATAACAACACTAAATTTGTACTAAATCTGTACTACATTTATCCTTTGTTGTGTATTACCAGCACTTCATCAGAAAGATTCCTCATTGCAAAATGGCTCAACAAAGGACTCAGATAAGTGATGACAAGCAGATCACATTGAATGAGAATGAACGGCTGGCCCTGCAATCACACCTGGAACAATGGAACTCCTGCAAAGGTGGAGAATGCCATGCAGTACTGAATGCTGCTGTCAAGGAAGCTCGTCTTCTGGCCCCAAAGATGGACAAGGATGCACTGAAGCGTCGCAAATATGTATGTCACTCGGCCGTCTTTAACCACTATCCTCTCAGTTACCATGCATGCCAGATGTACAAGCAATGGTTTTACAATAATGGTGCACGCAAGCAGCGCATTCGGAAGCATCTCATCAAGTACGCCCGAAAATTAGGGATCCGCACGGGTAAACCCGCGGGTGTCTCGAGGCCAACCCGTACCCGTACCCGCCACGGGTATGTACCCGTAGACACGGGTACGGGTGCAGGTGCGGGTGTACCCTCCCCCACCTGATCCCAGCAGCCACCAGTGCTTAGCGCACACGCCTGGCGCACGTCAGCGAATGCTGACGTGGCTCAGACATATGCGGAGGACACTGGAGAGCGCCAGAAGAGTGGAAGGAGGGACGAGACAGGAAGAACGAGATGGAGGGTAGGATGCAGTGTACGGCGCAAGTGGTAGTAGTAGGGCATGAGTGGTGGTAGTAGGGCGCGAGTGGTGGTAGTAGCACACTGTAAAGTTAAAGATAGTAGTAAACGAGAAAAAAACAACATGCGCACCTGGAACAAGCAGCGAATGACTGAGAGCAATGAGCAACGAGATGGGAAGAATGAGAGGGCGCGAGTGGTGGTATGCACAAGAGTAATCATAAGTTACTAAAAATGATCAGTTAGCGTGATGAAGTAGCATAAAAACACGCACCTTTGCAGCCCTAATACCACTAACTCCCCATCTAGAGTCGACTCTACATGCGCCGCGTGCGCGTGCTGTGAATGTACCCAAGCATAGAATGGCTACACTGCGACTGTGACGGGTACATCACGGGTACGGGTATTTGTGCGGGTCACAAAATCCTGACCCGTACCCGTGACCCGCTGCGGGTTACCCATACCCATGCAGTTCCCTACCGAAAATGGACAGCTCGGGAGGTGATCAAACAACAATGAAAGGCTGACGTAAAAACCATCATCGAGGAGCAGACTGGGATGAAGCCGGGGGAAAAGGGAATGATGAAACATTACCAACGTATTGTCACCGAAATTATGCAAGGTCTTACCTCCGATGAGTTGAAGGAGGCCGAGGCGACCACATTAGCATGGTCACAGGAAGGTCCACCAGCAGAAATACAAATCAATATTGCCAAGACAAAGGGTGAATCATTGATGAAGCATTTTGCAACAGAGATGTACAGGCAAGCCGGAATGAGAATATTCGTGGTATCAGCATGGAAGGAATGAGACGGAAAGCTAATGATCGAAGGGTGAGTACAGAAGGTCATGTTCAGTTATATATTGAAACTGACATGAAACGCAGTCATGATTTCAATGATGAAATTGGCGGTGGTGAACGATTCATGGATACCAAAGATTGGCAAGTTATATTGGAAGAATGGAATCCATATGCAGAGGAACAGTTCAGTAAGTGATTTTCGGTCTGCCAGGATGCATGCTCAGTGGAACCCAACAGATATGCAGGAAGGGACCGATGATCGGGTGATCCATGGAAAGACACGGCAGGTTCGACAGCTGTTTCACTTTGAACTGGATAATGAGGGCATGCCAATCATCCCCGACAATCAAGATCTTGACCTTCAAACCACAAAGGATCTAATTCATGACTACATGACAGTACATTACCGTAAGCTGGATGTTGGACATGCTTCAGCCAAACTGACATTGTGAACAGGACATTGTTGCCAGAAGCCGAAAGTTCCCGTTCCATGGGCAACAATTATATCGCAGCAAGAAGAATTCATCGAGAGTAAATATCTACCTGAGGCAACAAGAATAAAAGATCCGTCCAAGCTGAAGAAGGCTGAGGCTCAAATGCTTCTTCAATTCTGGCGTCAGAGGCAGAAACACACAACTGACACCACATTTAAATTCAAGGCATGGGTGGACTCAGATGGAAACATACACTCTCCCATTAGGAAACCAACTCAAAGGTCGGATGATCTAGCTAGAAGCTGTCAGCCATTAAAACGGTCTAGGACACACAAATCAAGAGCAAGGAACACCGGTGACCAAAAGACAGACGAGGAGTCTTCTGAGGACGATGATGATGCACGCCTTCCACCACGTCAAAAGTCAAAGCGGCTTGCAAAACAGAGAGCAACCACTGGGTCATGTCGTAACTCTCCCATCAGTCCAATGGTTGACATTGACAGCCAATCCAGCCTCAATGCTGGATGGAAAGGCAATGGTCAGGTGAAGGCGAGGGTTACCTCCATCTCCCGTAGAAAGGAGCCAGAGTCTGATGATTCCGTACAACCAAGGCCATTAGTGAAGAGAGGAATCATGACTCGTTTACCACAGATGGACAATGAGACTGATGTAACTGATCCTCCAATATCTGTCTCTCAGACGGCAATGGTAGTGATTGGCCAGGCAGAGCAAATCCAGCACATCAGGGGCGGGAAGAGAAACAGAACTGGCTCTGACTCAACCCAGGACATTAATGCAAATTCATCATCGCCTCACAACCAATCTTTACCAAAGGACATTGAAGGTGCAAAGGGTGGAGCTACAATAAATCTAGTGACACCATTGCAAAGACCATGTCCTTGGCCTGGCCTGGCCGGCCGGTCGAAGCAAGGAAATCAAAGGCATATCTTTCTGAATGCATTGACCGTCAGTCCTATCACGGCCAAACAAAATTCTGCAGCACAAGAGGATAACATCGTCGCACAACCTCAAATGCTGGTACCCAAGCCACCACCCCGGCCAGGACATCCGGAGAAGTCAAAATCATTGATGTCCACCTCGGCCATGGCGGCAATAAATGAAGGATCTCCTACAGGTGCCTTAGTGACACCAGTACCAAACAATCTACCTGTAGAGAGATCTCGGCCAAGACCTCGGCCAGCCGGAAAGATGCTTGGTACCAGTAGTCATCGTCCAACTGCCCCAGGCAAACGTGTTCTCCTTGATCACTTTGTGGATAAACAGCATTTATAGGCTTCTGTCGCAGACACCATCAGGATGGTTCAAGGTCACAATGGCTCCCTGGATGAGACACCCAGTATGTTACCGCCGAGGGATAGGAAGACTTCTGAGAAGACATCCAGAACGACTTTGATACCAACTAAAGTTCACACAGCCATAGCAGCCAACAATACTGCTCAGAAAGAAAATGCAGCTGTATCTGCAAATTGCCAACATATGGATGATCGTTCAGGAGGGACGGGTGCGGATCTGATGCTGGGATGGGAACAGGGTAAAGGCGTCAAACAATGGAGAGTAGATGAGCTGCCAGAACCTCCTAGGAAACGGGCAGTTAGAGAAAGAAGGTTGCCCAGCAGGTATGCTGACTATGAATAGTGTTGCACTACACCGATGTGTTGGCGGTTCTCATCTATCGGCCGGCCGAAATGTGTTATTTTATCCTTTATGCAATGTACATCAATACTATGATCTTGATCCTATGCTGCATATCAAATGATCACAATGTTTGTATCATCTGTCGCAAGTTTACAACAATGTGACTTGCTTAATAACTGCATGACCTACATTGAGCATCATTGCATCTCTGGTGCGCTTGCTGTTCCTGACATTGGAGTGTGTCACAATAAATGTGATCTTGACTGTACTCAATTGAATGACAATGTATTACATATGGAACTTTGATGCTTGCTTACCTTCGGTTACACGTTTCCAAATCCCCGCACGGTAAACCTTATGAAATCGGTCATTGTATTGATTCACTCAAGAACTTGCAATACAATATGGTACATTGCGGCGTTAATGAAAATGTACATAGAACATTTGACACCTATTCTACAAAATTAAACATTCAATATTAAGCATGGCCTTCCTACTTCATTGCTGGGCGCAAGGTTGATGAGAAGAATCAGACAGGCCTGGTACATTGGTGCCGGCTGGGGCACCTGGAAAAGATGAAGACCGCCCTAGTGATGACGGACTCATTGTTATGGCCATACCGGGGGGTGCTGATGCCCGAGACGAGGTTGTGGTAACCATTTGGTCCGTACTAGCTGCGGGAAGTGATATATTGGCTGTAGGAGAGGGTGGGACGGGTTGGTTAAGCATCGGCACGGATCCTTGAGTTTCTGCCAAAATACTGTAGTAATCCTGCCCGGCCAAGATGTCGGCCTGTCTTTGCTGTTCTACTGACACCGTCCTTCCTGCTACTCCCATAATTGCCGATGCCGAGTCACTTGGGTGAGTCAATGTTCCTGCAACTTGCTGGTGGTGTGATTGGTGAGAGAGGCTGGCGAAGACTCCGCTATGGATGATCTCATCAGCGACCTGCTGCCAACCAACACCTGGTGGCAAGGTGATGTTGGACTGAGATGCGACTGGCGCAGGAAACATAGGGTCATTGGAAACATATGTCCGACACAAGCCTTCATAAACGACCATCATTGTGGCCAGATGACGTGTAACCTCTGTCAGCTGGAGTTGACTGACACGGAGGGATGCACTGGTGGCCTCTAACCGGCCGTTGAGAACTGTGTTTCTCTGCTCCAACAGATCCACCCTCTGCTCCAAACCAGTGAGTCTATGTTCTCCGGTAAGGTCGAAATTTGCCAGTGGAAGTTCTTGTTGCTGCACAGCCGGTGGCACCGTCAAATTGACTTCGGCTCTTGAATCAATGTTGACCTGTACATTGCTTTGTTCCGTGACATCCAGCTTGCCAGTCCCGTCACCTGTCGCATCCATGTCGGCTGTCATGTCGTGCATGATATGATCCTCGTCAGCTGGAGGGACAATGTTGACGGAGGATCTGTCCGGCCTACGCATGGGGTCGCCATCAACAGCCGTCAATTCCTCGTCTGCGGTGTTTGGTGTTTCAGCATCAGTTATATTTGGAGATGACTCCCGAGTATCTTGTGATCGTTAGTTAGGATATACGATGGATTTCTATAGTAATTTTGTATTTACCTGCTTGACCACCAGCAGACGACACCTCGAGCAATACAGATTCATCCCTCACCACTGAGGGCTGTGTACCTACCCTCTTCTTGGTGAATGGGACTGGCTGAGCCCGAGATTTTGACCGAGTTATGTTTTTGCCTGTTGGCTCTGGTCGGCTGGTGGTTGCGGCAGGAGGGCTGACAACGGTGTCTGTCGGTGGCCTGCATCTGAGCTTGCTCTGGTGGCAGCAGTGTAGAAACAACAATACTGAGAGGAACAAATGAAGTTCCAAACTGTATCTGTAAATGTTGTAAGGTCGTGCGTTGCCTAGTCTGCTATACTTGAGACGACAAGTGTGTTCGACCCTAAAGGGGAAGCGAGTGCAGCAAGGATCTAGTAGTGCGCGCCGAAGGCGCTACTGGTCGGCTGATGCGAAGCGCGAGAAAGCGCGCAGGTGCACGCGAGGCGCGGGAAAGTGAAGGTGCGCGCGAGGCGCGGGAAGCGCGTGCACGTGTGAGCGGTAATGAGTGAGAGTAAGAGTGAGTTTGCTTAAGTGGTGATTAGATACTAGACAAGAGATACAAGCGCGAGGTGTCAAAGAATAGATTTCTACTATGTTCTCCTAGGTAGTATGTGGGTCGTAAGTGGGAGGTCGAGTCTAAGTTCGAAAGTTTGTAATAGTATGTAATGCTGGCGCTTATATACGGCGCCTAAGCGCTGTCACGCGGAGCCGAAGCGCTACCGAGTAAGGTATGTAAAGCTATATGTAAGTAAGGGTCCATGATATAAATAAAGGTGGGATGATATGTAAATAAGGGAAATGGAAATACACGTACTAGAGAGCTTGGTGGACAGTGGATGGATGCTTCCGGAAGGCTGGCGCTATAGGGCGATCAAGCGCGGGAAAGCGCGCGCGCGTATACATCGTGAAGCGCGGGAAAGGTGCGCGCATGGCGCGCGTTGTGCGGGAAAGCTGTGCCTCATATAGGGATAGCTGCAGATAGCACACAGAGTGATGCTGCAAGTTCGTGCTGTGTACTCCCTAGTGAATACTGCCATATCACACCATGAGAGGCATGAGTCTCTACAGCGGGCACATGCACCAATGGGCTTCTTAGTGTGTTTCCCGATTCCTGGCAGACAAGGCGCTCCTGCTTGCAAGCACAGATCACAATCCCATGGGCGTTTCGAAGTGGCCGATGTCCCAGGTGCTGGCTTGGACGTACTGGGCAGATTTTTCTTCTGCTGTGGTTGTAGATCGATAAACACATTGAAGGGAAAGAAAAATAATCACTAACCTTTACTACAATCGATGGAAGCATCGACCGTCCTCTTGTAGCTTTGTCGTCAGTTTCTCGCTTAGCCTTCTGCTTCCCTTTCGCCTTGCTAATGGCAGTCCTCATCAGTTCGTCGTCCTCCATGAGCTGTTCTTCTTCATCCTCGTCTTGGTCTTGGTCATCCGTGGTGTCCTGGTCTTCTGTGTCACTCAAGATCACTCTTGACTTCTGAATTTTCCGGCGTCTCTTGACTGGCCGATTGGGAGGGGCAGTTGGACTTCAAGAGTGTTTTTGGCGAGTGGATTGGGAGATGATCAGCCGATAGGGTGTCGATGGTTTAGCTTCCTTTCCCTTTCCCTTGCCCTTGCCCTTGCCCTTTGTTTCCGTCAAGCTGGATACAGGTCCAAATGATCGAGGCCGGGAGGATGTGTGAGATTGAATCTGAGATGGGCGAGGGGGGGTAGTATGGAAATGTCGGGCGATGTGGTCTGGCTTCGCTGTGGGATTAGGATTGACCTCCAACATGGCAGCAGCTGCAGATGTAGATGCCATGTCTGAAAATCCGGTTGCCAAAGATGGCATGGTTGCTGGTTCGACTGTATGGTTAGCGATGTACACACGAGCTTTTTCCTTGAAGGGGTGGTCGTCGATACGAGGGTCATCATGTCGTAGCGATCGCCAGTCAATCGACCTCAAGAACTTTCTCTGGTAGGTGGTGTCCTTGACCTCTGTGGCAATGGACAACACCATCAGCAGGATTAATGTGGCCGATCGGCCATGAGAACCTAACACTGATGACTACATTGATAAGATAGGATTCATCAGTGTGATCACAACCGAGCTGAGACTTACAAGTTCAATTGCTAAAGAAAATGCCTGCTTCTGATGCTCTGGGTGGCCATCTTGCATCTTCAACGCCTTGGAGACAATGTCTTGCATCTTGTTGTATGCAAGTTCCATGGCAGCATTGGATTCTGTGTGAGAGGACATCTTTTGTGATCGCGAAATGTACTCGATTTCGAGTGGGAGTTGAATTGAAGAGAAGTAAAGTGACGAACAAAGTTACGAGATGCTCGGACCGGCTGGCCAACATCATGTGATGTTGTACCTGTGGGAATTCATTTATTTCTACAACCTTAATTGTTAATGTGCATTAATTGTGGGTTCTCACACACGTGATGTACTGGTAGCTAAGTTGAATGTGACATCATTGTGGCCCTAAGTTACTGCATTGATCACAATTTTGTAGATTTCGACGGTTCATTATCAGCATTTGTAGAATGGCGCATCGTGTATGATTCAATATAGTATCCGACTACAGTTCCAACAGTCAGTTCCTTCCCATTTTATGTTATTTTTGGTTGACTCTTGAACCTTGGATGTTTAGATGAAATGGCCAATTTTTTCACCGGCTATGATAATTTCAGTGAGGATCAAGACATTGTCGCATCGGACCAGCATAAGTTCATTCTCCGTTGAGAAGATTTTGGCTGACTCTCGGTCGTACTATGAGTGGACATGTTAGATTTTGAAACAGGTTACGCCACTCAATCCAGTGGCAACACTGATGACTGGCCAGGTATTATTGAGTCCAAGGATGACATTACCATCTCAAACTCAATTGTAGATTGTAAGTTTCACATACTATGTACTTCAGCTGACATTGGTCACATCTACAGATGACATGTTACATGTTTTCGCTGGCAATGAAAAAGTTCCAGTTGAGATCGAAAAACCATTCAGTAAGTTCTATTTGCCATCATATAGCAAACTTACAGACAACCCGCGGATTTTCCATGCAGGCTATGACACACCATCCTTGCCATCGGCCCAACAAGGTGTGGATTGTATTCTTGCACAGTACATACTAATAGCATGTATTACAGCCTCATTCGATTGCAACTATGACAATGACGATGGCATATCCATGTCACAAGCCCTCCCTGTGACTGTCAACACATCTGAAAAACCGGTTGCTGATACATTCAGGCCCCCAATGTGTAGGTCAGCTATCATCATGCTTTGCGAGTACTTATTGTTGTCTTGAAGTGTCGGTGCCCTTTGTCCATTACAGTGATGAGAATGGGTACCTGCAACATGATTTTTTACCCAGACAATCACCACAAACTTGTATGTTTTCATTTTGGCACATATGATCATCCTGATGCTTCTGTCAGCATGTTCTGAAGAGGATGATGTACCTACCGAAAAATATCTTGCAGAAATGAATGAAGCAGGTAGCTTGTCGAATTTTATTTTACAATACAACTTAATGATTTTCAGACAAGGTATTTCTGGGATATGGCCATATGTTACCAGAATCAACATATAAGAAATTACTTGGTCTGTGCGAGCCACGGCCGGCTGCTGGTATGTCCTCCATTACGTTATCTCAGATCTCACATAATCAATTTAGCCGAAATATACCCAGGCTGTGATGATGATGCAGTACAATCACAAGCCTCATCTGAAAATAGCACATCTGTGCTCGCGGACTTCGGGCCGACAGCGACAAACGAACCTAATTCAAAGACAAACCATCTTTACGGTCGCATCTCTGTTGATACACCATCGCCTTGTGCTGTCGACCTCATGTGCACAGAAGAATCGGCTGACGATGTGTTCATGGCTGATCTGTACCTTGGGTATGAGGAAGATGACATCACAACCACACCTCAAAACCCTCAAGGCTACCGGGCAGATGTCGAGCAATCCCCTCAGATCCTATTACCGGCCAATCTTGACTTTGGTTATGAGGGCGATTTCTTGCCAATCGCACCGTTAGATCGTCCAGTACATCCAACAGCAATGGAGTCATCACCTGACGTTGAATTGCCGGCTAATCTAGACTTTGGGTATGAGGACAAGATTTTCTCTATGAAGTCATCAGATCATGCTCTTCATTCAACTGTTACGGAACCATCACCTGACATGGTGTCGCCGGCCGACCTTTGCTTGAGGCATGAAGGTGAGGCCATCCAAACCACGCCTTCAGGTGAGTCAGTCAATCATACTGTTCAACACTCGCCTGAAACTATGTCCATCTGATTCTTTCTGTGGTTACGCAGATGAGGCTCTCCCCACTACATCCTCAAATCGTTTAGTGCGGCTAAATGACATCACGGCATCTATGGATCCATCGCTGCCAGCCGATTTGTGCTTGGGGTACGAGGACGAGGCTCTCCTGACCATAGCCTCAAATAGCACAATCGGGCCAACACTTGTAAATCTGTCGGCCGGCATCACATTACCAGTTGATCTGTGCTTGGGGTATGAGGATGAGTCCATTGTGAATGAGCTGTCGACACGAGCTGTACTTGCCAGTCAAGTTGAGAACTTAGGTGGCCGTGCAGCCCCACAAGCGTCCCGGAAATCCCCCAGGACGGCGGACGGCCTTCAAAACCACGATCCTTTGTACGCTGATGCTGCGGAGGCCGTCGCCCGTGTCATACATCACTTGGAGGTCAATGATGACCATGAAAGTAAGTCAAAGCACTCTGTCACATATTTCGACTCATGACACATCTTTCAGTCGATTGAATTGCCAGAGATCTCGTGTCTTCAGGTATTGGGAATTGCCGTGAACCCACGGCCGAAGAAATGATATATGCCAGACGTGTGGTGAAGGTATCATATGCTGAACGAAGAGACAGGGTCACACGAGCATGTAGAGATCTGGTCAGGTTATACAGAGTTCTTGACTATCATCGTGGAATGCTTGGCTCACTAGATGATTTAATATACAATGTGCAGAGATTGGAGGAGGAACAGGATCACGACGATGAGGATTGACATGCATACTTTTGAATACATCGTTACATTTACTACGCATTCAGATACATTTCTACAAATTGGTACAATATTGGCGATCTGAACTGTATTCATCATCCAGTGAACAACATTAATATATAAAGCTAGGAGAAAAATATATTGACCAGCATCCTAGCTTGAATGTTTTATGTCATGCACGATGTCATGGTAGCAGATTTTTCCAAATGCTGGATGAGCGATGTCCATTGGGTTTGTTGCATTTCGGCTGAAAGCACCATCCTTCACCCTGAGATTAATGAAAAAACTTCGCACATAATGTATGATAGTTCAAAGTGCTAGCAACAAGATGTTATAGTTTGATCTGACCAAAGACAGCAATATAGAACCAAGCTCCGGCCCAAGTATCCATGTTGGTTTGGTTGCAATCTGGCCAAAGGATGTGTCAAGTGAACAATTATTGAACATCACACATAATATAAGATGATTCTTTCTATCGGTTGAGGGATGTCTGCGTGTTCGGTTTCAATACAGCCATATGCACTATGCTTTAAGTGGAGAATTATTTGGAATGTCGCACAAAATAGAATAGTTTTCTAAACTCCGGCGATGGCACCATGCTTCAATTTCAGGGTCATGATTTAACAGTGAGCATTGTAAGAGATAACATAATAAATCGTTCCAAAGTCCGGCCGAGAGATGTATGCTGAGTTTAAATCTCCACCAGTCCTCATCACGACATAATAGCTGTTACATTGATCTCAACTAATGTCATGCACTTCCGACAACTCATCCTGGAACGACTCGCCCTCAACTGGCCATTGTCCAATGAAAGGCAAACGACCTGGAGGTCACTATAATGATCCACTACCATACTTCACACTCTGGGATGCTGCCAATGTATTCGAGTTTGCGACATCCCGATTCATGGCCATCCGCCATGCCATTGGCAAGAGCTATGTGCAGCGCACACCCAAACAAATCAATTGCTGGGAAAGCACATTATTTGGGAAGCACAAGTGAGTTTTGTTCTTGACTCTTGTGCCTCCAATAAATTGACCCGATGTTGAGACATTTGTCTTGCCATTCGTTAATGTCTGCATGGGAGCCAACATGCAGCCCACTCTACTGTTTTTTCTGGTGCAGATAGCGGGCCTCGTCGGCAGGTGGCAGTTGGGGTTGTTTTGCTACGAAGAACTCGCCCATTCATTCCTCACTTGCCCTACAGAGAAGCATCTCTGTTTGTTTGAAGGTCGTCGGCTTGTAGAATATTACCCTTATTCCTGGTGGAATGACTGCTGGGACATGCGTTTCCAGACTGCAGAAGTTCAGTTAACCTTTACAGAAGTGATGGACATCGTGAACGAACATTTTCAGCAACGGGTGAGATTTCAGTCATTTTGCAATGCGTCGGCTGACATAGGACAGCCGGAGGGTGCATTACTGGCTGCTTTACCCACCACCATGAATCCTCAGGGAGGTCCATTGAGTAGGCAACTTCTCGCAGTCAGGGCAGCAGCAGCACGTGCTACTGATGAAGTTCGCCGAATGATTGAAGATAAACAGATTGAGGCTGTCATCAGTGCTGAGTGTCTCGGCCACCCGGAGGAGATTAACATTGGCCATGCTATGGAAGCTTCCCACCGTGTGGTACATTGTGCAAGACAGATGGTGACGACTCCGTAGTTATAATTTACACCTTGATCACCTGCACATAACAACTTCACGCTCCATAAATTGTGTTATATTATATGTTGAGGTTCAAATTTAGCCTATGATTCATGATATCATGGAATATGTATTTAATGACACCAACAACAGCAGTCAGCCAATGAAACGTCCTTTGGCTTTGATTATGTAACCCTTTAAAATCAGGTAATCATATAATTTGAGCATATTTCGGCTATCATCATCTCAGCAAGGCATCCGAGCACCATCGGTGCTGTAACATGTACCCGACTTAAGTTTTTAACCATCATCCTTGTGCTTTGGAAGCCAGAGGTCTCATAATTAACGTCTTGGCGGATATCACCCACGGTCTGTTACACAATTTTACTCGTTGAAAAACATCGCATGCACACCATCGAAGTGCCCAAGGATTGGGCATTGCAAAAGGTCCATTTAGCCAGCCAATACGTCGAGGATCAATTTTGGGCCCATGTTTCTCGATCTGAATGCATTATTCCACCCATGGAGCTTGATGTTCAAATCACGTTGAGTTGTGCACAATTAGCATCAACTCTGGCTGATGCATATACCAATCCTAGTAGGTTCTCTTTATATTTGGTACTTATGTCCTAACTAAACGGCAACAGTTAAGCTGAACGTCAACATGAAACAATACAACGATGCTTGTGGACAACGGCCGACAGGCCGAAGTGACACACAGGAAGCGCAGCTGCTGCAGAAATTCCCGCCCAGTCGTGAAATGGTTCTTGAAAAGCCTTGTGTTCTGTTGGATGCAGGTCATCGCATCATCTTGTGGTATGTGCCCGGGGCACTGTCAGACTGGGTGAAGGTAAGTGTGTTCTTCTGTGTTGGTCATTCATTGAACCGCCATGCTGCAGGAGGATATCAGTGCAGCAATGCATTGTGCCAATGATCTCCTCAAGAAAAGTCTATCCCCAGCGAATGCCAATTGCATTTGGAGAACAGACAGGTCCTATTTCTATCCGACCGAAACACCTGGTGTCTCCCCAGGGTGCATCAATGTATCTCCATGCTGGTTTCAACAAGGTCACAAGGTCAGTCATGTCTCATCATCGTCAACATTCAAGGGACTGACCGCCACAAGCCTCATGCTCATGCTCAAGATAATGCTGATGTGAGCTTTTGTCCAGAGATATCAGCTAGTCTCAAAGGCCCTCAAGGTATATCCATTATCAAATCTATGCGACGACCATCTCTCCTCGCCTCGGCTGCATTAAGGGTCATGCACCCCAGCCTGTATTGGGCCTCATTGCACACCACCCTTGAGATTGGACACTGGGCATATTCCAATGGTCAAACCGAGATGTTTGAGCGCATTAGACACTGGGCATCGGTCTTCACAGGTGTCACTGTGATGGCCAATCACTGGTCACCCGCACACCACAATCCAAAATGCTGTCCTGAATGGTTTGACATCATGACATTGGTCGGCAACTATCCAAGCGCCCGGATGAAGTTACATAACCTAGGTATTGAGTTGGTGTATGACTCAGGAGTGATGGTAGCATTCTGCGGTCGGCTTGTCCGCCATGAAGTGGACCTGCAGACCGGCGACCGATGGGTGTGGGCATGGTTCATGAGAGACAGCGTTCATAACCATTTCAAGATGCCCCGTGGGGAGCACTCATTGTATTCTGAGGCAGATTATGCAAAGTACAGCAAGGTGGAAGACATTTTAAACGGTATGTAGACTTTATCATCCTCACTGTTCTGTTTCACATACTTCATATTATTTGTATTCCATCACTATACTGGAAATGTGAGTGACCGGTGTTGCATATGTTAATGACCGACCGGTATTGCTTGTATGACCGGGACATCAGCTTTAGAGGTTTCCTTCTGGGATGCCTGTCATATCCCGCGTTCCGGATCCGGACCTATCACACTCATCATTTCCAGATTTCCGGATCCGGCCGACTTCTATGTATCGTCCGGATCCGACCCGCGTCTAACCTCCGTGCCTTATCCCTTTGGTATTTCCCTTATCAGTTAGTACACTTTATTTTCCGTCCCTTATTCATTTCCGTCTTCATTTTACTAAGTTCCGATAGACTAGTGATAGTCGTCCCATATGTTTTATCCATAGCTTTACATAGCCTCGCACTGCACTTACTGTTCTCCGTTATGTCCTCAGTAGTATATAAACCCTGTACAGTCTCTGTAGTTTCCTTAGTTTGAATATCATCTTAGACTCTGCTCATTCTCTCCTCCGTCCGACTTGAGTTTCTCTCTCGTCGACCTCCGCTCATCTTAGGATCGACTCCTATAGACTTGTCACCTCCACCTCTACCTCTGGTAGTCCTCCGCTGTTTCCTTTCTAGTTCGGACTTCGTCCAGATTAGTCTTATCTCTTGTTTCCGAACGTCCGCCGGAATTCCCGCGCATCGGACATCGGACTCCGGACATCGCCTGATGCCCTCCGGATATCGTCCGGTAACCTTCGGACATCGTTCGACAACCCTCAGAAGTTAGGGGCACATACTCGGGTAAGGGGCGCAGCGCACGAGCTGAAGCCAAGCCCTTCGGATCCGACCCTTGAGCACGTTCTTAACAATGCCACAGTGAAACATTGGAAAGTTCTATAACCCATGGGCCGAAACATCATTTATATTGGCTGAGAAGCAATTCAGGGTTCATGGGCCAGAATGTTATTGATGTTTGTCAAGATGTGATCCATGTGGTCATGGGCCGAGACGTGAGTCACTGACTCATGAGCCGAAATGTTATTCATGTTGGCCAAGACCTAAGTCACAGAGTCATGGGCTGAAACATTATTCATGTGGGCCGGGACCTAAGTTACCGAGTCATGGGCCGAAACATTATTTATTTGGGCTGAGACGTGAGTCACGGACTCATGGGCCGAAATGTTATCCACAGTGCCAATGTGCTATACACCTACCATTTGACTATGGGCCCAATCAAGACACTCATGTATTGTCAAGCATGGGCCCAGCCATATCTTACGGCTACAATTGCCCATGGGCCCATATGGGATGGCTCGTATAGTACGGGGAATTGTCCTATTGGGCTGGCCGTGAGATACAGACTATTTCACTGAACGGGCTCTCCTCGTGTCATACCACCCCTGGAACAGCCAGCCGTTGACAATTCACCAGAGGAACTTCGGGCACAGTCTCTCATCAGCCAATTAGAACGAGATGTCATGGAGGCTCAGGACAACCTCCTCGCGGCGAAGGCAACCCAGGCAACCCAGGTGAACAAACATCAGGCCCCCGAACTAGCGCTGGACGTCGGTGACAAGGTGATGCTTTCAACGAAGCACCGACGAAGAGAGTACATGCAAAAAGGTGATAAGCATGTTGCTAAATTTATGCCTAGATTCAACGGACCATACACCATCTTGGAGACGCACCCGGAAACGTTGACATACACCTTAGACCTGCCGAACTCGCCAAATATCTTCCCCACCTTCCACTCCTCACAGCTACGACCCTACCACGCGACCGACAAAGAACTATTCCCCTTGCGCGACTTCCCAAGACCTGGGCCGGTCGTGACCGAAGACGGACAGATGGAAAACTTCATCGAGAAGATCATGGATGAGAAGAAAGTTGGCAGAGGAAAAAGGTATCTCGTTCGCTGGGTCGGATTGGGTGCTGATGAAGACGAGTGGTTGCCCCATCATGACCTTGAAGATTGCGAAGCACTAGACGTCTGGGAGCAACAAAAGCAAACTCCATAGAGTGGGAGGGTGTAAGCTGGGCTTACACATCAGACATACTGCTTAGGCATCGGACGTTGATTGGACACCCCGCATTGTTTGCTGCTATTTTGACTGACTCCTATTCATTCGGGGTTTAACTCGTTTGACCTAGTTGAATCATTCAGCGACGCCGGTCAAATCCAATCTCGTGACTCAGCCTCACGGCTTACACAATTGAAGGCCCCTCTTTCGACAGGTACATATGTCTTGCTGACGAGTCTGGATTATTCCGTGGTCGCCCAGACTTGCCCTCACATAGCACCGTCTGCTTGTGCACGTCTGCACCTTTTAAGCTATCATTTAAATCTTCAATTTGATCATTCTTCATTCATGTCCACTGAAAATGCCGGTACAACGTCACAAACGCAATCTTCTAGAACGACTGCAGCCCCTGGACCATCATCTTCAGGGGATACATCCCAAACCAACGTTAATGCAAAGGCTTCACCCCAACAAGTCTTGGCGACGGCATGCTTTGCCATTATCGACGACTTTAGACGGTCCCATATCTCCAAAGTTGACGCAAATGTTGCGCTCATTGAAACCATATCAGATGAGTTATTTGCTACACCGGGACAATGAGTTTCAGACATTGCTGGACCCTATCTCGACATGCTTAACGAAGTTGAGACAGAGCATGATCAATCCAGACACCGTGCAGCAAGAGATTCAGGACAGCGCTTGGATGAACCAGCGCTCGATGTCGAAGAAGAAGAAGCCCCTTTATCAAAGGATAGGAGTAGAGCAGGATCTGTCGAGCCAGCGGAGCCTGCTCGCAAACGATCCAAACTCGACTATTCCTCCATTGAACTCGCAATTAAGAGCAGAAAGTACCAACCTCTGTCGCCCAGTCTTGAGCGAACCAACGAGATCCTCAAAAACTGGTCTCAGGACCAGAAAGAGGTTCGGCGATACCTCATGTACCATAAATATGCTCCTGAGTTCCATAAAAGCGGGTGGACCGAAATCGTTGCCGGAGAGTGTATCAACCTCGATGTCGTCCACACCATCATTACCTCTTCTCGAGCGGTTGACAAACAAACCGAAACCCTCGGAGGAGTTGAGATCAAATATGGAGTCTCAGAAGCAGCTTCAAGGAAGATTGCCACCGACTCTGATTGGTATGCAGCGTGGAATAAAGCAGCTGACACCATCAAATTCGCGTTCCCTCATCGAGAGGCTGAGCTCAACAGATATTTCGCATTCATATCAAAGTACTTCTCGCAAGCTAACGCCTCAGCCCACGGAAGAGTCATTCGTTTCGACAAAGCCGTCAGAAACAGAGTCGGATCATCACGCAGACTCGAACTTACCGACTACCGTGAATTCGAGGATCTCATCTTCTCGCATTTCAACTCAGACGGCAAACAACGCAATGATTCCACGGACTCCAAATCCAACATTGGAAGCTCAACCGGATCCAACACCAAGCGTGACCCTTGTCGCAAATGGAATGCAGGTGATTGCACACGCAGTGCCGCCTCATGCCGATACGCTCACATCTGCTCATTCGAGCAAGATGGACATGTCTGCGGGCGAAAACACATTAAAACAAAGCATATCGAAGACTCAAGAGCAAAATGGGTCTGAGAGTGCTTTGAAACGACCACATCATCGTCGAGGTCTGATTTGGTCACCGTTGGACGCTACCTTCAGTCCTACCGCTCGCTCAACGGAATATGCAGACCCTGTTCCTGATGCTCCTCGTGCACTCGTTAAAAGTGATGGCGCTCAAACTGTTTCACGCAACCCAGAGTTGTTTAAAATTGTTTGTCCTATTGACGTCGATAAATTCCAGTCACTGCTATCCGAACATCCCAACCAACCTTTCGTCATTTCGGTTTGTCGTGCTCTACGTCAAGGCTTTTGGCCGTGGGCAGATGTTCCGGACGACGACTACCCTTCCATCAACGACAACTCAATGAGAACCTGCCAGAAGACCAGTGAACAGTTAGCCTTCATTGAGGCCCAACTGAAGGAAGAGATCCGGCAGGGACGTGTCTCCGAAAGCTTTGGACAAGAACTCTTGCCTGGAATGTACAGTGTGCCGATGCACACAGTACCTAAACCCAATTCGGATAAACTACGTCTAGTGGTGGATCACACTGCCGGCGAGTATTCCCTCAATTCAATGATTGAATTGGACTCAATCAAGGGCACTAAACTTGACGGTTTACATTCACTTGGTGCCTCCCTTCTTCAATATCGCGAGCTCCATCCTCATGACGAGCTCGTCATGTTCAAGTCAGACGTGTCACAAGCGTTCAGACGCCTACCCATGCATCCTTTCTGGCAAGTTAAACAAATTCTCACCGTGAATGGAGAACGTTACGTCGATTGGAACAATAATTTCGGTGGCAGAGGTTCGCCTAAGGTTTGGATATCGTTCATGTCGCTTGTCGCATGGATCGCGATTCATCGGGTCCTAATCGACGCACTGAAGACTTATATGGATGACTCCTTCTCATTTGAACTTGCCTCTAGACGACTCTACTATGAACCTTACCAATGTTTCTTTCCCGCAAAGCAGACTAGGCTCCTACAATTGTGGGACGAAATCGGACTGCCACACAAACGACCAAAACAGCTGTTCGGAAGTCCTCTGACAGTGATTGGCTTCGACGTGGATCCAAACGCAATGTCTGCTACACTCCCGGAACACAAGAAGGCGACACTTGTAACGCATTTGCGTTCTTTCGCGACGAGAGGTTATAGGTGGTCTTTGCGAGAATTTCAACAACTTGCAGGATGGTGTGAGTGGAGCTTCAACGTTTTCCCGCTGCTGAAACCAGGGTTGTCTGCCGTATACGCGAAAATCTGCGGGAAAACGGACCCATTTGGACGACTTCATGTCAATAATTCCATCATCAGCGAGGTTACTTGGATGGCGGACCACATGGACCGTTCACGAGGTCTGCTTTTCTACAAGTCTCTCGACTTCAGCCCTCAATGTCAAGATGTGGCTGTGGCATACACTGACGCATCAGGGATTGGTCTAGGACTCTGGTTTCCTGACGAAGATTTCGCATGTCAATGCCCACTGCCAGAGTCCTCATCATCGGACACCATATACTTTATGGAAGCCCTGGCTGTCTGTTCGGCGATACACGCCATACAGAACATGGCAGAAGTGCCACAGCGCATGCTCATCTACACCGACAATCAAAATGTTGCAGACCCTTCAGTCACTTTCCATGTAGAACCCTGGCTCCGGATGTGCCAAAAGTCTGTAGAATCATGGCCAGCCAGTCACTGGCCGGAGTATGCAAACTCCAGCTGGCCGGAGTATGTGGAATCAGTGTTGACTGGTGTAGATATATACATATTAGAATTACTGTAAACACAATAACTAGCCTTATGCCTACAAAATGTATAATACAGCTGGCCGGAGTATGTAGAATTAGTGTTTAGTGTTAATATATATATAAATGATTACCATCAGTGGTAGTGGCTAGCTTTATGCCTGCAAGATATAGAATTCAGCTAGCTAGTTGGCTGGCCTGATTTCACTGCAGGTAGAATCAAGCTTGCCAGTATGCAATTCTGTAACCAATGACTGACCAGCCTTGACTCCACTGTTGTAGAATCAAGAATCAAACTGGCCAGGACACAATGTTGAAACTGATAACTGGCCAGTCTTGGTTCTACATGTTGTAAAATCAAGTCAGCCAGTCACTTGTTATTAAGTTGCATACTGGCCAGATAGCCTGTACAACATGTAGAATCAAGACTGGCCAGTTATCAGTTCCAACATTGCATCCTGGCCAGTTTAATTCTACAACCGTAGAATTAAAGCTGGCCGGTTTGATCCTATAGAAGAATCAAGCCTGGCTAATTATTGGTTTGGGATTTCTATACGAGTACTAGTCATTAGTTACAGAATGTCATACTGGCCAGTTATCAGTTTTAATATTGCATCCTGGCCAGTTTGATTTTACACCAGTAGAAACAAGGCTGGCCAGTTATCAGTTCCAACATTGCATCCTGGCCGGTTTGATTTTACACCAGTAGAAACAAGGCTGGCCAGTTATCAGTTCCAACATTGCATCCTGGCCGGTTTAATTTTACACCAGTAGAATCAAGGCTGGCCAGTTATCAGTTCCAACATTGCATCCTGGCCGGTTTAATTCTACAACATGTAGAATCAAGACTGGCCAGTTATTAGTTTTAATATTGCTCGGTTTAATTGTACAATAGTAGAAACAAGGCTGGCCAGTTATCAGTTCCAACATTGCATCCTGGCCGGTTTAATTCTACAACATGTAGAATCAAGACTGGCCAGTTATTAGTTTTAATATTGCTCGGTTTAATTGTACAATAGTAGAATCAAGACTAGCTAATTATTGTTTTGTAATTTCTATACTAGTCATTAGTTACAGAATTTCATACTGGCCAGATAGCTTGTACAACATGTAGAATCAAGACTGGCCAGTCATCAGTTTTAATATTGCATCCTGGCCGGTTTAATTGTACAATAGTAGAATCAAGACTGGCCGGTTTTCAATCACAACATTGCATCCCGGCCGGTTTAATTCTACAACATGTAGAATCAAGACTGGCCGGTTTTCAATCACAACATTGCATCCCGGCCGGTTTAATTGTACAATAGTAGAATCAAGACTGGCCGGTTTTCAATCACAACATTGCATTCCGGCCGGTTTGATTTTACAACAGTAGAATCAAGACTGGCTGGTTTTCAATTCCAACATTGCATCCCGGCCGGTTTAATTCTACAACATGTAGAATCAAGACTGGCCAGTTATTAGTTTTAATATTGCTCGGTTTAATTGTACAATAGTAGAATCAAGGCTGATCAGTCATTGGTTTCAGATTTGTATACTGGTCAGATAGTTCCTACGACATGTATGATCAAGACTGGCTGGTTATTGGTTTCAACATTTCATACCGGCCGACTTGATTCTGTCTATTGTAGAATCAAGGCTAACCAGTTATTGGTATCAGAATTACATGGACTGCATAGGGTAGATATAAGCTAGTTATATACTCTTATAAGGGCCAGCCATGTACATACATGCTGTAGGAACCATCTGGCCAGTCCATATCTTAAATACAATTATCTCGGCCAGCTGTGGACTACATAGAGTGGAGCTAGTGCTAGCTAAGCTACCTTGTCATTCATTAGCATTGAGAATTATCCTGTCATATTTTTCCTAGCAAAGACAGTATACCAGATCAAAGTATAAATTGACATCCATTGAAATTTTTCTCTGCCTCCTCAACAAATCTTCCCCACATCAAGACCTGCTGATAAGCATAGGCTTGATGACCAGGTCTGGTGGCTTGGCCACCCCTTCTCTCCCATTCATTCTGGTGGTACTTGAACCAGTTTATGGTCCAACCCATTTCATGTCTTACCAGCCTTAATTCCTCTTGCCATCTATTCCATCTAGCCTTAGCCTTCAACCAGTTCACCCTGTAGACTAGATCGGTTGGAGCTTTAGTGACATATCATAGAGATAAAGATTTTTTCTTACATTCATCTATCCAGGCATCGTCTTGACCTTGGCTTGCATTATTTCCCCTCCAAAACCAAGCCAGCCTGTCTGACCCTTGTCCAAATCTATTTTCTTCTGTCACCTCTTTGTCTATACTGAGCTCTGTAGGCGATATTGGCTGATAAAGACTCCCCAAGGTGGCTTTGTCCATGCCTAGACCTTCCATTGCTGACCTTGCCCTCTGATAGCTTCTTACACACTTGTCAATTTTGAGCTGACAGCGTTGAGCTTCTTGCTTTGACCTAGTCCCAGCCCATGTAGAATTAGCACTTCGAAAATACTGACGATAGATGATGGCCTTATGACCAAGGGCCATTCAAAGCTTTTCGAGGCAGTCATTGGCTTGGCCCTTTCGAAGTTCTAATTCTTCAGCTTGGAGGGGACCCAGTCCGAGAGCCAATGCATCCTGGTAGGGCACTGATGATGGCATCCAGATACCCATCTCTTCAGCCAAGATTTCTTCGTCAATATACTCTGAGATCTCTTCATCTGAGACCTCTCCCCAACCATTTTCATCATGACCTGCATAGCAGAATCTAGGATCGTCGGAATGCACTGTTGCAGTTCCAAGATCCATACCAGCAGTCATGGCATCAGCTGTTTCATGAAATTTAGCTATCCTAGCTGTCAATCTCTGTCGCTTCTCTTCTATAGAAACTTTCTGTCCTGGGGTTGCATCAGTAGGAAGTTGTCGAATATCTGCCCTTAGTCCATCCCTAAAATAGTACTATGTCAAACGGTTTCTCTATTTTTATTGGTTACATACTGTAAATCCTCCAGATTGATGCCAGTAATGAGCCAAGAGACTGTCCCAGGTTTGCTAGTGTCGGTATTCTCAGACTCAGTTAATTTGAGTCTAATCTCTGCCATAGTTGGAGCTAGATACAAATACTGATCAGATGTCTATACAAGAATAGCAGCCTCACAACTAGACAGAGTTCACTTACCTTTGTTCATCTGCAACTGATAGATGTCAAGATACTCTCCATGTTGTTCCATGGCCTTTTTCTCATCGATCTTCCATATCGAAATCTTCTCAGGGTCCAGAGACAGAGTGAGCTCGTCAAAGGGAGACTTTGTGTCATCAACACCTTTGAGAGCCCGTTTGTACTTTTTCAAGAGAGTCTTCACTGGAAGCTCAATTGTCAAGCTTGTTCAAATGCAAAATTTGGAGGGCTTACTTATTCCCACTATTTTTTTCCAGTTTGAGTCTCGCATATGATCATCAAGAACTTCTTGACGGTGAGCCTGACTCATTGACCGAGCAGTTGGGGAGATCTTATTGAATGGTGCCCACAGAGTCTCCAAAATCTCCCCATCAACATGTCCAGCCCCTTGAATAAAGTTGAGGCTGTACCTTGCAAAGCAAGCTAATTTGTGAGCGCTAAGATGGAATTTTCCAACTGCTGGAACGATGTGCATATTTTCAGGTACAGACAAGCCCTTGCTCTGGGCTACTCTCTGTAGAAAATTAATGCTCCACTGACACCCCACATCATAAATGATGAGGGAAGAGTCTATACCAGCTGAATGATAATTCAATGCATTGCATATTGAGTAGTCGATATTCATGTGTCTAAAAATTACCTGAGCTTGCATAACATGTTGATTTGGAGGACATACACAGACCTTTCGCCCTTCTGAAAATCAACTATACTATGAGGAACAAAGCATCCATGTCGAGCACAAGCAGTTGCTCCTACACCTGTAGCTCGAAGATTGCTCCTGCTGATATTTGCTGCATTTACTGCACGATGATTGCTGCAAGAAGACCGCTACAAAGATAGTGAAGCATGAACGAAAAGTGGTTGTCATGAGCCAACTCACCTCTTTACTTTCTACAGCCGATGACAGATGAGTCTGGTATTCTTGATCTTTCACCATATACCCAAGCCCGTCTGACAAACTAATGTCCAACTGTGGTTTTCTCATTACCATATGTTGAGCAGTGAAGTTCCCGTCTACCACATATCTTTGTGAAACAAGCCAACTGTACAAACAGGTAAGCATAAGGTTAAAAATGTGCAAAAAAGAAAAGTAGAAGTCTCTCTCCGGACCAACTCTCTGGCTGGCATGTCTTTGAGTGACATCTATGCACCTCAGTTTAACCGGCCAGCATGGTTATGCATGCTATCTGTGTCAAGCTAGCAAGCCAATTTAATGTGCCGGCCGGCCTGGTTTTACATCCAGTCTATGCCATGCTGGCCAGCTTGATTAGAACATAAGTCAGTCCGGCCGGAGCTCTCGTACACTATGCAGTGTAGGGCTAGCCAGTGAGTATGATATTCTCAAGTGTGGTAGAGAAATTGAGTCGCCTCTCCTTAGAATGAGATGGATAAATGACTTGCCTTTCATATCTGGCTTGCCAGTCAGGAGGTAGGTTAATCCCAGGCTGTGGACAAGCAGGGCAAAACCAAGCCAGATCACCCTTGTCCGGTTTCTGCTCATCATTATGGGCAAAGCCAAACCATTTTCGACTCATCAAGTCTCTCCACAGTCGAGACACTCTCATAAGTTCTCGATATCGATTCTAGAAAAACAAATTGGTACTGTTAGTTTAACTTTCACCAAGAAGACTTATAAGACTTACAGGAACAGTATCTGGGAAACAGTTATTGGTCATTCGACGGATTTTTTCAAAGAAGCTGGATGCTGAAGTCTTGCACTCCAGTGCATCAATTAGAAAATGATTGAGGACATCAAAAGTAAAGGCAGTCTGTGGTCGAGTGGTACTGGCTGGAAATAATTTAGCTTTCAGCAATTGCAAATGCTGCTGACAATCGACCCCAGGACAGCTGCACCAGACAACGTTGTGCAAAAACACTCCAGTGGAATGTACAATGGTCAACTTGGTTGGTATAGTTGAACCATGAACTGTCTCCATTGGTGAAAAATTGGCCTCTGCGTCTATCGGAATATTCTCCCATGCATGCATGTCGTCAGAAAATGGACATGGTTGTCCCCCATGGCCCATATACCAGATAAAACCCAATTCTTCAAGTGATGTGTCGTTGAAGCATTTCCCAGTCCACTCTTGAACCTTGTGGAAGGGCAAAAACTGGTGAGCATTGACAATGCAAGAACGACAGAATGTCTGATCTCCACTGCAAGTCAAACAGCGGAATTTCCCTTCACCAATCTGACAAGACTGGCACTGGGATACATCGGAGGGTTTCTCCAAGTCTCGGAAAGGCAGATATTCTTGGATGAAGTCATTTTGTGTCTGGTCGTAATAATCTCTATTTAGTACATCATTAAAAGACACTGAATCACTATGCTTGCCTTGGTTTTTCTTTGTGAGTTCTCTACATAGGAAACAAAGTCACCAAGGATTTGTCTATCAAAATCTTCATGACTGTTTTGCAACCCTTGAGTGTCTTCTCTAATACGTTTACGAGGGCTGGAGGATGGAGATGGTGTTGGGGCAGTGTCATAAAGGCTATCAGCGCATGATTCCACCCAGGTTGGCTTCCTTCTCTTTCCAATGACTTGTTTATGAGACACATAGGCAACATCAAGGTCCTTGCCTTTAGACAAACGATCTCTTCCTTGGAAGGAAAATGTAGCTGCCTTGAGTCGAGTTTTTTTCTTGGGAGACATAGGGTTACGTGTGGGGGGAAAAATTGATATTATCAACATTCTATTTTTGATAGTTGAAACCATTCATAGGAATCACTAGATCACATCAACTAATCTAGTAGGTATACTGTCAAACACTTGATTTGTCCCATTCCACCCCTCCTCCTCCAAGAACCACTCCTTTCTTATCATCTACTTGTCACAACAAATAACTATCCTGCTGCCCCACCATCTGCAAAAAATAGGCCTGTGTTGGAAAGGGGGGTCTGGATACCCCGCATCTAGAGTGGATTTTATCCCTCATAAAATGGGCAATAACAAGCCTTTCTCCCGGACCCCATGGACCAATAGAATGTTGTAAAACCTTCCCAGAAATGAAGACCATTGTCCCAGGGTAATAATCCAGTTCGGCCCCAACATCTGCTAATGTCAACTTAGCCTCATGGCCACTGCCTAAACTAATCAGAAGATCAAAAAGAGAAGGTGCGCCACCAGAATCTCTGTGTGATAAAGTTGTACGATTTGCAATTATTTCCAATCCTGAGAAGATCGAGGGCCAATCACAGATGGGTGGTGATGTTCTATCAGAACCTTGAAGTTCCTCAATAATACAAGTGATTGCCAAGGTGCCTGCTTCGAATAGATCTGGAGCCGATACAGCGGTAATGGCATTCCAGAAAGATTCAGTAGCTGATAAAGCAGCTAGCCACTCTTGGACTTCCACAGACTTATAGGAAGCCGAGGTAACCATTGGGTCTTCCAGTCTCTGCAAATGAAATCAAACAAAGTCAAAAGTAGCTAAACAGCCACTAAATTTGGCCTATACCTCGTGTCTTTGCATAAAATATGCTGGTGATACTGTGACTCTGCCTGCTCCAAATTCTCCACCCCCCTCTGGGACAACAAAGCCTTGAGATCGCCAAGACTGTTGGGTGGAGGACGTAATTGTTTCAAGAAGTAAAGTCCGTAAACCCTTAGTGGCTGAGTTCACATATTCCTAATTTAATTTATCAATTGATGAGGGGAATTCCCAAGGAAGAATGAACATATAACCCGAGAAGAAGACAGAATATTTGGCAAGTAAATTGTTAAAATTTTACCTTGCCTGTCCACAATAGTAGCTGGTGCTGAAATTTTACCGATCATAGCTGCAGAAAAGTACTTTGGTAGCTGATTGGTATTAGCGAGGGGACCATCAGATTTAGGTGTAGAGACTTTGGCCATTTCGGCAAATCTGTCAACATCCCAATCCACATAATCTGCAAATGATGTGAATTTAAAACCAGGTGATATCTTGCAGAGTGAAACAACTCACAAGGATTTACCATTGCATGGGCAACTGTCAGTGCAGCTCGATTGATCTCATATTCTGAGATTGACGCAGAAGCATGGAAGTTGACATCACGTGTTGCTAAGCAACTGTCTAGCTCATGTCCAATTCTTAATCTTAAGTGAGACCATTTAATAGAGCGGATCAAATAAGGCCCTAAATATAACCTCTCACCTTGCTTTGTGTAGAAGGTGAGTTTGCAATATCCCCCCTCTGAAGATCCCTGTTGCTGATGATTTTCCCATAATTTCCTTGATCCTTGTGGTCAGAGCTGCTCTCAGCTTGATTGATTGACTCATTTGTTGGTCCATGGTGAGCAAGGAAAATTTTCAACCAGCTCGTTCGGATCAAGACTCAATTTAACTTATATGAAATGATTCCGAAAAAATTGTCCCGCGATCAAATTTGGATATATGAATGGAATCTACTGATGGAAGACTGATTAAATGAAGTCTTGCCCAGATTGTGACATAATTAGTACTGTAATAACTCGCTCAGATGCTGGAAGAGTGAAGACTAATATTGGCAGACTACCACAGAAGAATGAATGATATTCTGAATCTGGGACTACACTGTGGGATCCCTGTCTCAAATAACAGGAGACACTTCCAGCTGGAGTTCAACGCCTTGAGAGACAGCAAGGACTCACTTATTAAGAATGCAATCACAAAAACAGTAGTGTATAATAGTAAATTGGCATCCGGAGGATACCAGGACAAGTAGCAATGACGCCATATGATACAAACTGCCCTGCACCATCAGAAGGCTGACTCTTCCCTTCTGACCATGGAGGGGAGATACCTCTGAGGTTACCTCTGAGGCATATACTGGCTAGCCCGCCCTCAAAACTGTTCATGTTAAGAGTTCTGCCTCAGAGGTAATACTTCGTTAGCTACACCTATACTGTAGGGTATTGAAAATGTTTTCTTTGTTAACCGAAGAAAACATTCTCAATACCCTGCAGTATAGGTGTAGCCAACTTACCTCTGAGGCAGAACTCTTAACACGAACAGTTTTGAGGGCGGGCTAGCCTCTAAGTGGCCTGTAGGGTATTGAGAATGTTTTCTTCAGTTAACAAAGAAAACATCTTCAATACCCTACAGTATATGCCTCAGAGGTAAGTTAGCTACACCTATACTGCAGGGTATTGAGAAACCCTGCAGGCCACTTAGAGGCTAGCCCGCCCTCAAAACTGTTCGTGTTAAGAGTTCTGCCTCAGAGGTAAGTTGGCTACACCTATACTGCAGGGTATTGAGAATGTTTTCTTCGGTTAACAAAGAAAACATTTTCAATACCCTACAGTATAGGTGTAGCTAACGAAGTATTACCTCTGAGGCAGAACTCTTAACACGAACAGTTTGGAGATACCTCTGAGGTTACCTCTGAGGCATATACTGGCTAGCCCGCCCTCAAAACTGTTCGTGTTAAGAGTTTTGCCTCAGAGGTAATACTTAGTTAGCTACACCTATACTGTAGGGTATTGAAAATGTTTTCTTTGTTAACCGAAGAAAACATTCTCAATACCCTACAGTATAGGTGTAGCTAACTAAGTATTACCTCTGAGGCAGAACTCTTAACACGAACAGTTTTGAGGGCGGGCTAGCCTCTAAGCGGCCTGTAGGGTATTGAGAATGTCCGTCAGTCCAAAATATGCTAGCAGCCCAGGCAGATGGTGACAATGACGCCATATGATGACTCCCCTCTGTGGTCAGAAGGCAATTTCAAAGAAGAATCAACCTTCTGACCGGGAAGGGAAGTTTGTATCATATGGCGTCATGGCTACTTGTCCTAGTGTTCTGCCACCATCTGCCTATGCCAATAGTATATTTTGACTGGCAGACAATAATCAATGATAGCGTCCTTCAGCATGTCAATGGTGAGCCGCATCAAGGCAGAATTGAGATCTACATAACACATTATCTATCTAAGACATGTAGTAGATAATAGTTGCTTTGGTCTGTGCAGCGTTTGATTATTATACACTACTGTGCTTTTGCGCTTGCTTTCTTAATAAGGCTCTTTGCTAATATACACACGGTCACGTGACCTTTTCAGCCGGCAGCAAATAAAGTGCATCCATCAACATACATTTTCAAATACAAAGTACGAGTGACAATAAATTTTACTACAAGTAAGCAAACAAATAAAGTAACAAATACAAAAGGGGAGGCGAGACTTCAATGAGGGGGCCCTCCTCACCAAAGCCTCAACACTCCAGGTGAAAATGTATGTAGCAAATATATATATAATACAATACAAATTTGTCCTGTAGAAACGTTAGACCGAAATTTAAGACAAGATTAACACTTAACTAGAGAGCACTTGCCACACAAAAGTACCGGCAGGTTCAGCAGTCTAGAGAACAAAACAGATCAGTTAAGGTCATCAGGAATTGAGCGCTTACCACCATTAAAAAGTTGGAGCAGGCTATTAAAAAGTCGGAGCAGGAGCCACTGACAAGTGGCATGCACTGCGCTGAGCCCCAGTCCCAATAAGCAGGAGCCACTAACAAGTGGCATGCACTGCGATACCGCCAATTCCAAGAAGCAGGAGCCACTGACAAGTGGCATGCACTGCGCTGAGCCCCAGTCCCAATAAGCAGGAGCCACTAACAAGTGGCATGCACTGCGCTACCGCCAATTCCAAGAAGCAGGAGCCACTGACAAGTGGCATGCACTGCGCTGAGCCCCAGTCCCAATAAGCAGGAGCCACTAACAAGTGGCATGCACTGCGCTACCGCCAATTTCAAGAAGCAGGAGCCACTGACAAGTGGCATGCACTGCGCAACCCCCAGTTCCTATAAGCAGGAGCCACTGACAAGTGGCATGCACTGCGCAACCCTCAGTTCCAATAAGCAGAATACTAAATAGAACAGACATTAGCAAACGGACGCGAGAGAAGAAGGACTTACGTTTAAGGAACTGGAAGGCGCTCAAAGGGAGGAGTGGCTCTAACTGCGCCATCCAAAGTCCTGAAATTCGTAAGTATAATACTAAATAGAACAAACGTTAGCAAACGGACATGAG